ATTAGTCCCTTGGATGCACATGAGAGAGAGAGGCCTTGGTCTTCGCGGGTCTAAGTTACGGGTTAAGGTTTAAGGTTTAGGTAGGGTTAAGTTGAGGTATGTGTATAGGAACTAATATATATGGTGTAGGTTAAGATGTAAGATAACTAAGGTGTATAGGATAGGCTAAGGTGTATGGTGCACACACTGACCAGTCGAGGACCATCTCGCCCAACTTGACTTGAGTAGCCAGAGAATGCCCTTAAATACAGGGTCACACTCTCCCAACCTCTCAAGAGGGCCAAGGACGAAATTGGTCCTTCACCTGATGACCTCTAATGCGTTGGAAGGCTTCCGGTGGCACCAACAAACACTGGTGCCAAAAAACGAGTAGGTGCGAGGTATCCCTAGGAGTGCCCTGTACCCTCATCTTTTCATGTCACCCCATCTAATCCCATACAGAATATTAATTCTAAATATGATAAAAATCTTAACAAATCTAATGAAAATTTAGATTTTGTTGAAGAAAACACTTTCGAAGATGTAAAAATCCCAAACAAATTTGAGAATTCTATAATGGAAGTTCCTGGTGATGAGCCAGACCTCTCTATCTCGGATCAAACAGATGAGGAAATTGAAAGTGATTACGAGCCAGAAGAACTTCAGTCCAACGTCAAACAATTCAAACAGAAATTCGATGGTGACTCGATCGTCGTCGTCGAGGAGACATTGGATGTAAACTAGGTTCCGAGGACAACCCAAAAATAACCAAGGTCGGGATTTCCTAATCACCTGAAGAACAACGTAAGATGGTAACCTTCCTCAAAGAATATCGGAATGTTTTTTCTTGGTCTTATAGCGACATGCCTAGACTGGATCGCGTCCTAGTTGAGTTTCATCTCAACGTACAAGACGAGGCGAATCCTATTAAACAAAAGGCCTAGCAACTAAAGACCCACCTGGAACTTAAAACCAAGGAGGAAATTGACAACTCTTGAAGGCAAATTTCATTGTGCCTGTCGATTATCATGATTGGTTGGCCAATATTGTCGTCGTCCCCAAAAAGGACGATTGAATCTGAATGTGTCTCGACTTTAAAGATCTGAATAAGGCATGTCCAAAAGAGGATTTTCCTTTGCCTAATATAGATGCCCTAGTCGACAATACGACTGAACATGAGTTACTGTCATTTATGGATTGTTTCTCGGGATACAACCAATCTGTATGCTTAAGGAAGACCAAATGAAAACGTAGGGAACCTACTGCTAGCAAGTCATGCCCTTCGGTCTCAAGAATGTCGGAGCAACCTACTAGAGGGCAATGACCACCATATTCCATGACGATGCATATAAACATGGAAGACGATGTTGACAACCTCCTGGTAAAATCCAAAACTAGGTGTGACCACCAAGCTGACTTAAAATCGATATTTGAGCGCCTCTTGAAATATCAACTCAAACTTAAAACTACGCTTTCAAAGTCGCTTCGAGAAAATTGCTTGGCTTCATCATTAGTTAGAGGGGCCTCGAAGTGGACCCATCAAAGATTCGGGCTGTCACCAACATGCCGCCTCCCAGAAACATAAGAGAAATACAAGGCCTACAAGGAAGAATACAATCCATAAGGCATTTCATATCACAATTAGCAGACAGATGTGAACCCTTCAACAAGCTATTGAAAAAGGATACGATGTTTGAATGGGATGAAAAATGTCAAGAAGCTTTTGAACGGATAAAACATTACTTGACCAATCCGCCGATGCTAAGCCCTACTGTTCCCAACAACCCCTGTTCTTATACCTTTTTGTGAAGGATAAGACCATGGGGGCTATTGTTGGGCAATATGATGACCAAGGTAAGGAGGGAACCATTTATTATCTAAGTAAGGCCTTGGTCGACTATGAGACTAGGTATACAGATGTTGAAAAGCATTGTCTCGCTTTAATCTGGGCAACTCAAAAGCGGAGACATTATGTTTTATCACATACCATAAAACTCATCTCAAAGATGGACCCTCTAAAGTATATCATTGAAAAGCCGATCCTCAACAGATGGCTCGCAAAGTGGCGTATGCTCCTAAGTGAGTTTGAAATTGACTATGTCACCCAAAAGTCGATACAGGGGCAAGCGATAGCTGACCACTTAACGAAACATGTGCTCTCTGGTGATACAGCAATCAACACAGATTTACTTGATGAAACCTCTTTAACATAGAGGATCCAACTTGGGAGCTACACTTCGATGGTGCCAAAAGAGAATATGGGGAAGGTGTGGATATCATTCTATGCTTGCCTTAAATAACCATGATTCCCACAACTATGTGACTTAACTTCTCATGCATCAACAACGTAGCCAAATATGAAGCCCTAATAACTAGGCTTGAAAGTGCGGTCGAACTCCGGATAGAAACATTATGGGTTATTGGTGATTCTCTCCTTGTGATAAGCCAGATCCAAGGGGCATGGAAGATACGAGAAGAAAAGTTAGTTCCCTACTATGAAAAGTAGGGCGCTTGATTAGAAATTTCAAAGAAATCACCTTCTAGCATGTGGCAAGGGTCAACAACAGGTTTGTGGACACCCTTGCCACCCTAGTCTCCATAGTTAGTATCCCACCAGGAGTAGATGTTAAACCCTTCTATGTTCGGCACAAGCATAGTCCCTCTCTCTCAATAACAAGTGAAATGAATGAAAGTAAAGAAGAAATGGGAGGGACCTTCGCCATAAACGAACAAGGACAAGTAGAAGCTAGGCCATGGTACAGTGATATACTCGCCCTTCTAACAAGCAATGAATACCCAGAAGGGGAATCTACAAAAGACAAGGAAGCCTTAAGAAGACTTTCAGCCAACTTTGTTATCTGGGGCGACCAAGTTTATAAGAAATCATTTGATGGAGTCGTTCTAAGATATATCGATCACCCTGAAATGGATAAAATTTTCATTGAAGCACATAATGAAGGAGGACATCTTAGGGTAGCTGCCCATGCCCAGAAAATTAAGCGTCAAGGATATTATTGGACTACCATGGCTGAGGACGGTTGGAAGCACGCGAAGAGTTGTCCCAAATGTCAAATATATGGGGACCTCATTCACGTGTCATCCATGCCTCTGAATTCAACACCGCCGGTATGGCCCTTTGCAAGATGGGCCCTTGATGTTATAGGAATGATATCACCTAGAGCATCAAATGGACATAGGTTCATTCTAACCACAACTAAATACTTCACCAAATGGGTTGAAGCTTCCTCCTTCACAAAAATTGAAGGACGGCATGTGGCGTGATTCCTTAAAAACAACATCATTTATTGATTTAGGGTCCTAAAAGCAATCATAACTGATAATGGGACGAATTTCAAAAATGATACCATCACTGGGGTATGCAAGAAATTTGGCATAACCCAGAAATTTTCCACCCCCTATTTCCCACAAGGGAATGGCCAAGCTAAGGCCACCAACAAAGCCCTTCTCAGGATCATTGATAGAATCATATAGAATGGGAAAGACTGGCATGAAAAGTTACAAGATGCCTTAAGGGCATACCGGACCAACACGCCCATATTCACTAGTTTATGGTATAGAGGCGGTAACGCCCGTTGAAATCGATATCCCTTCCCTTAAAATACTTGCTCATCGCACTTTGGATGATGATGGAATATATGAAGCATAGTTAACCTTCTTTCTCTCTCTTGATGAGAGAAGACTATGAGCTTGCAATACTATGCGAAGCTACCACAAGGGCATCGAGCAGACTTATCTCAAAAAGGTTATCTCAAAACAATTTCAAGTAGGCGACATTGTATTAGAAAAAATACTTCATTCATCCGCCAACCCACATCCATTGGGAAAGTTCAAACCTAATTGGGAAGGATCAGTCGTGGTAACCAAGGTACATCCCGATAACTCTTACAGGTTAAGAAATCAAGACGGGTTGGCAATACCTGACCCTATTAACATCTTATACCTTAAGAAATATTACCCGTAGGGGCACGAAAAAAAGGAAACATAAAAAATCCCAAAAAAAAAAAAAAAAAAAAAAAAAAAAAACAATATAGACAAAAAAGAGAAGAACGACAGACATGGTAAAAACCCAAAAAAGGGCCGATGGGTAAAAATACCAAAATAAGTGGACATGTTGAAAACTCGAAAGGGCACCATCGGTAAAAATGAAAACAATAGACATAATAGAAATACTATGGGTAAAAAAATCGAAACAAAAATCCAAGAATAGTGAAAATCCAAAAAGGCCGCTATTACCATATGCCATGGATGAAAGCCCCAAAAGTGGCATTCAAGGCTCCGATCTATCGAGAAAGCCCCGCAGTCAATTCAAGGGTCACATACCTTCCAATACTCTCAAAATATTCTAGTGAAGTCCGAAGAATCCAAGAAAGGCATTCATTGGCCAAAATGATAAGTGAGAAACCAAAGAAGATTTATTGATGCTGGCAAATGCTTGAGGCAAAAAATACTTGAGATTTCCAAGTCCTTTTGGTCTAAGACGGAACCAGCCTAGCTCTAACCAGGCTTCCTAAAAATTAAATTCCATTTTCAAAAATTGATCACTTTTTAGAAAATGGGTCATTCAATTCGTAAGAATCCACTCTTGGGGTAAAATTTCATTTTCAAAACTTTTAAAACTAGGGTCTTGAACTAGTTTTTGAATTTAATTAAAACCCTAAAAACATAATTAATTTTATTTTACACCAAGGGGCCATAGGTGTCTAAACTATAAGGCCCACTCCTGTTTTAAAACGATTTCATGCAAAACGGCTTTCACGTACTTTAAATTATTTTCAAGAATCTTCTAAATAGGATCTATAGTCCAACTCTAAACTGCTAACCACCATTAGATGGAAATGGTGTTTCCCTGCCTATCACAAGCCTAACCAGTACAAAAGGATGTCTCTCTCTTGCTCGTGTTTCTAAGGCAATTAAAGAGTAACTCGTTTTTCATTTCATGTGTATCCAACAACAAAAAGAAAACGGAGAAAAGATTCACATATGTGAGGGTCTGCACATGGTTGGTGGCAATCAATCCATCTACATGCAAAACAGTACAAGCAGATACACAATCAATGGGCATACCATCATTTTAGCAAAAAGAGAGAAATCATTCACAACGATGGCAAAATCCAAAGGGTGTGGTTGTAACAAAAGTTGCCACACAAGTCCAAAAAAGTCAATCACAAAAGGCATACAAATCCAAAAGACAATCATTAGAATGCGGGGCTATGAGAATGTCGACTCCGGGAAGGACGGTGAGACGAAGCGGCCTCATGATCATCTGCTCCAAGTCGCGATGTATTCTCCACTTGGAGAGACCCTCTGTCTCCCACTCGTAAGGAACACCTAGATATGGCTAGACTTTGTGTACGCTCCAAAGGAGGAGGGAGAGGATGCCGGACCAGGGCACGCTCTATGATAAGAGACGGATCTGTCCCCCAACTGGCTAAAACCCCCTCTAAAACAGCCACAACACCGGCATTGCTCGCATACTCGCGTAAAGCGTGATCCTGACCAGGAAGAAAAACAAGGAAGAAGAAACCAAGCTAAGTGAGAAGGGGTTAGAAATCGATACAAATCAAATAAAAGCATGAAGAAGAAGATACAAGGGATGCACACCCTCTCATCTCGAAGGTATCGACACTTGGACTGGTAGTGAATCAGTCGAGAATGCTGGCACTCAGCTTCGCTAGGAGAAAGCCCCTGTGGAGCGTGTGGAATAGGTGGGACACCTGGAGAACCCACGCGTGGAAGAGGAGAGGTCATCTGACAAGAATTGCGAAGACTCTGACGAAGGGAGTCCCTCTCACGCTCTATCTGGGAACAGCTACGAACAACCTCCTCATATTCCCTCCGCAACTAAGTGTGCTGCTCCTGTAACTACCTCAACCTCGATCTGAAGTCATTACGCTCAACTCGCATCTCGTCAACTGCATGGGCTTTGGCTGATAGCCTCTAATGCCAAGGAGAACGATGGGTGACCTCATACATGGACCGTGTACAAGCGTAGAGATAAAGGTCCGCCTCCTCAAGGGTAATCTGGTCGGGAGGATCTATCAGCAATGCGTGCCGTTGACCCTATCGGGTAAGATAAGGAGACAAGTCTCACCTATAATCTCGCCCCATTCTAATACCAGGAACGACAAAGACATCTACATCAAGTAACTCCACCTGGGGGTGTCCAAAGTGCCGAAGAAGTCAATCTGGATGATACGCCTCCACAAAATACATACAAATCAGGGCAGCGGTCGTCAAGAAGACCTCCTGAGACCCCTCTACTATCTCCTGGGGCTAATCACTAGAAGCAGGCGCCCATGTAATCTGTAGAAAGAGAAATAAGGAAATAGGCAGGAAAAGAGTGCAATGTCAAAAGCATAGGAGGGAAGGAAGAAGGCTCTCATACCTCTGTCTCCTCCAAGACAAAAAAAATCAGAGTGTAATGATCCACCGTAAGAGCCTGAACACAAGCTTGCTTACCCCGTGCCCAGCGATGAATATGCGGAAACCATTCGACGGTATCCGAAACAAGAGGCCTGGTCACTGCTATGTGCTCCCATGCCCAGACCTACCAAGAACCTTAAATTAGGATGAAATCCAAAAGGGGAAAGAAAGAAAAAAAGAAAAGAAAAAGGGGGAAGTCTGAACAACAAAATATCTGAAGGAAGGCTGTAAAACTGACAACCTAGCTCATGCGCCCAGAGTAGCCTCTCGCAAGCCCCTGAGAAGGAATGTTAAGATGGCCGGACCTCATGCCACCTGATGTATATACTGAAGGTCCCTAACCGCCCAAACAAACTGAACCCGAGGATTACTTTTCAAAGGGTCAGGGAATAGAAGGGTACCAAAGAGATACACTAGAAAACCCCGGACTATTTGCATGTCCACCACAGTAAGCTCATTGTCACAACGGGGATCATAGTCAGGGCTGAAAACCCCCCTATACTCGGGAACACTCTCCTCAACCTCAACAAGAACCTCTCCCTCAGCCTCTACAGGAATATCCTGGTCAGCCCCAAGAGACTCAATCTCTTCGGCAACTCTCTCTGTATGAGCCGATCCTGCAAAAGTAACTGCATCTCCTGCTCCACCAACTCCAGAGGTCTCTTCAGCCAAACATCGGCTAAGGGAATAGAGCCCTCAATGAAATCATCCACCTAGTTGTGAGCTGAGGAATCAAAGAGGGGTCCCCCTTTCTCCCAACTCCACTAAGATTACAAGCCCTTCTCAGGCGCTTGCGACCTATACCAATGCTCTCTATATCATCACCGGGGGAATCTATCCGAGTCACTATGAGGGTCTCGTCATCCCTCACCCAATCGTCGGATTCAGTCGCAGAAGAAGAAGCAGAATACGAAGAAGAGGCCTCCCTCTCCTCATCTTAGGCTCTAGCATGGGCTCCTCAGTTTAGATAAGAGCATCAAATACACTGCTTACAAGGGTATTTTTAGCCTGTGTCGACTTGGGCTTGACAAGCAATTTCCTAGCCCATGCCCTCAGTAGACTCTGTGTGTGCTTATCTACCTCAGACCGTCGGAGCTTGATGCCCCAAATGGCCTCCAAAGCCTAGCTCGAAGCGAGGTGCTTTTCACCCCACCTTCACTCCTTGGGACGAACATCTCCCAACAATTCGTGCACCTCTCCCCAAACAGAACGACTATCAGACAAAGGATCACAAAGAAGAGGCGCCTCGTCACTCCTAACCCCGAGCATCAGAGCCACAACCTCTAGGTTAATGTCAGTTTCCCCACAAGGAAAGGAGAAAATCCCGGTCCCTGACTGAAAATGATGAACATAGCACTAATGAAGGCCATATCCAAAGGAAAGGTGTCAATCCGGCACACTTGGCCCAAGCCAATATCCATAACCTCCGTGTTCAGCTGAGGAGGAAGAATCCTAGCCCATCGTTGTTGTACCCCATATAAGTGGCTAGTGGAAGATAAAAGGGTAAGTTGGGACAAGGACCAATGTCAAGATAAATCCCCATCTCCAAATAATAGGATCGACAAATAAAAAGAAAAAGAAGAGAGAAAGAGAGAGGAAATAAGAAATCACCAAGACAAGCATATGAGTCCATCCCTAGTCTACGACAAGGGATAGGGGAGAAAGCATCGGAGACTCACTCCATTATGCCTCGAAATGGAATAATACCATTCCAAAGGTTATTGAAAACCCAAAACCAAAATCGGTTTTAGGGTCCAAAACAAAGTAAAAGGGCGAAGAGATAAATAAAAAAACAAAAAAAAAATGGAAACATGAAGCAAGGGCTTGACCCTGAAATGCCAAAAGAACCCAAAGACGCCCAAAATGGGCTGAGCAGCCCGTGAAAGGGGGCCAACATGTTGAAAGAAAGCACGGAACCATGGCGGAATTCGTAGTCCCGCCAGCGTCATTCCAATGAACGCTAATGGTCAACCGGACGGAATTCTCCCCGAGCCGCCCCAAACCACCCGAAGACGCCGGGAATGGGCCCAGATCACCCGACAATTGAAATCAGGGTGTTCGACGAGCCAAGGCATCGGGCGGCAACCGAACCCCTGCCCAACGCCATTTCCATTGGAAATGACATTTCGGCTCCTGGAAATCCCTAGCTGGAAAATACCGGCTAATAGGCGGCTGTAAAGCTCAATAAGGTGTGCGGAGATCTCAATACCGATTAGGGGAAGGGTCGGGTTTTCCATTTGCGACCATCTCCAGTCACTATTTGTTTAATCGGAAATCAAAATCCGGTGAGCTTGAGACAAACAAAAACCCTCAAAATCACCCATCAAATTTGTGTTTGGTACCAAAAGAATCACAATGATCTAAAAACCCTTGGCTTCGCAAGAAGATTCACGATTCGCAAAGATTGCATCACCATTGGTTAAATCGGAAACCAAAACTCAAAGGACCAAAAACCACAAAATCACCCATCAAATTTTGAGGTTTTTGTGCCAAAAGAATTACCCTCAGATTTGCAAGATATTTCAGAATACAAACAAGATAAATGAGTAAATCAGAAGATCATGCTAAATGAAGAGGGTTTTTCCGGCGTACCTTATTTGTAAACAACCTCCAATGTGCCAACCTGGGTTCTCCGACTCCTCTTCCAACATGATGGCCAAATGATGACTCTTAGACTTGGTGTAGAGCGGAGTTCACACGCCAGGCCAAGATTCCGGTGGGTTTGATAGTTCCGGTAGGTACGAGAAGGAAAATGAAGAAAAAGGGGGCCAACTCCACTAAGAGTGCAAAGAAGGATCCAAAGGCCGAAAATGGGAGGAGTGAGAACGAATGAACAAGTTGGGGTTTATCGAAACCCCCACCGAAATGCGCATGGCACAGTGAACCCCTAAGTATTTGCGGACCCCAGATAGCATGAGCGTCCGCATTCTAGGGGTACCCGCAGGAAAGATACGAACACAGACTCAAACGCCGTAACAGTCAGATCAAAAGAAACTATTTTATAAAAAGAAACCCGATACAAAATACAAACAAGAGAAAACAACTCGAATATGGCAGCCGTAACAGTCAGATCAAAAGAAACTATTTTATAAAAAGAAACCCGATACAAAATACAAACAAGAGAAAACAACTCGAATACGGCAGCACGAAGTCTCTAGGATCCGTTCTTCGAAAAGCCTTGATTCTCTTAGCCAATTTTTTGAATAGTACTTGCGAATTGTTTAAAAAGTGGATTGGTGATCTGGATCGGGCATCTCAAAAATCCATTTGGATCGACAAATCAGTTATTTCGATCGAAAATAGGTTGAATCGATCGAATTAAGCTTTAAAAAAATTCCAAAAAAAATATTAAAATTCGTTATAAATATTATCTCTTAGGATTCCAATAAGAAATGAGGGTACTACATTATTAACTTTCATTTTTTTCACCAATTTGTGAATATTGAGATTCTCTTTTCCTGTATAAACTTACGTTAACCATTAAATTTGCATCACATAAAAGAAAAATCATAGAATTACCATGGATAAAATATATAATTATACATGGACTATTATAAATAGTAGACTAAATCAATGAAAGAATGGCCATTAAAATCTCGTTTTGGCGAAAAACCCTAATCAGCTAAAAAAACCCAAAATTATTACATCCTAACTAACTATAATCCAAAATTATTACAACCTAACTAATTATAATATTATATACTGAAATTACAATTATTAGTTTACATTTTATAATTATTTTATTAGACAAATAATAACAAATTAAAAATATTTTATAATATTATCTAATTTAAAATGTATTATTGACAATTGTAAGAAAAATAGTACATTACATGATTTATAATGTAAAAATTAATAAATAAAATAAAATATTTGGTTATCAATGTAAAAATTAATAAAATACGTACATTACATGATTTTATTTTATATTTTTTTATGCCTTTCATATTATTTACAAAAATAATTATACCACTATATACAACAAAAATTAACTGCTATAATTAAATTTTTTATTTTTCAATTTTTTATGCCTTTTATATTATTTACAAAAATATTTATACCACTATATACAACAAAAACTACTATACAACAAAAATGTACCGCCCAAGGGGATTCGACCTAGGGAGGTCAAAGGAAATAGCAGAGGTCATAACCATCACGCCGCCTAGCCACATGTGATTATAAGTTGCTGATTAATAGAATATATTTACATTTCGCTTTCATTTAATGATATTTGGGAATTATCCCACATCGAAGGATAGGTATTCAACTTTGTTATATAAATACCTATATAATATGAAATAAGGCATGCGCGTCGAAACATTGGGGCAACCTCACACATGATATGTGGCACGTGATTTTGTCGCATGTGTCCGCATGTCCGTGTCGGAGTGGTGACGTCTGCACGTGTCTGTGTAGAATAATTGGAGTGGTGACATCAGAACCGCCAGTTGATCATGTCATCGAGCGGTTTACTGTTTAAAACCGTCTGGTTCTCTCTAGACACGAGCAATTCCTATTTTATGTGTGGAACCGGCTCGTTCTGTGACGATTCTCGAGTCGAACCGGGCGAGTCTAGCTCGATTCGCCATTTTTTTAAACCCTTGTGCTGATAGATCCTTAAACAATCAAATCTTCTAGACCCATGAGCTTCTCAACTACCAGATACCTACCTCCCTCAAAGAAGGTTCGATCCCCAGGGTACCCTGCTTCTTTCATGTCAAATCCCCAAGGAATGTCAAATCCCCAAGGAATCAGGTAGTCCCATCAGGCTAAAAATCAAGACAAGCCTATGATGATGGGAGATTCCCTTGAGTCAAGAGTCGTCAAATGACAAGAAATACCGTTTTATCAATTGAAGCCATTTGAAATATCGCCAAAGACATTTCTAATGATGCCCATCAAAATGACTTATCATTGCATGTCCAATCCCCAAACAAACAAAGGCTCCCATCAGGCCGAAACTAGGGCAAGCCTATAATGACGGAGGATTCTCTTGGAGCATGAGTCATCAAATGACAAAAATACCCTTCAACCATTTGAAGCCATTCGGAATGTCACTAGAGACATTTTCAATAATACCCTATGAAATTAATGGTCATTTTCATTCGAATCCCCAAGGGATTAGAGGTAGTCCCATCAAGCCAAAATCGGGGCAAGCCTATAATGAAAAAAGATTCCTTTGAAGCATATGTTGACAAACGACAAAAATACCTCTGATGACTTGAAGACATTCGGAGTGTCGCCAAACACATTTCCAATGTCACTCAAATCGATGACACACAATTCTACAACAACTCCCAAGGGATCCAAAAGAAAATCCTACCGGCCTAACATGGGGCAGGCTCGACCCAATGGATGATTCCCTCAGGGGGCATGTATCAGCAAATGATCAAAAGTTCCCCTTTATCATTTGGATACAATTACAATTCACTGGCGACCTTGGCAAAATCGCCATATCTTATTCTCTAAATTGACTCGGATCTTACCTAACACGGATACCAGATCCCTCATATAATCAATTAATTGGTCAAAACTAATGTCCCTTCCATACTTCCCAACAGATACTGGCAATATCCGCTAGGGGCAGTCCAATTCGATATTCGTTCATAGAGGCATGACATTAAACTACTTACCTCGTCCATAGAAGCATAACGTTAAACTGTTTAACTCATCCATAGAAGCACAACGTTAAACTATTTACCTCGTTTATAGATGCATGACGTAGAACTGCTTACCTCGTCCATCACCGCATGATGTAAAACTGCTTGGATGACTCCTCGGTTGCATGAGTTTAAAATGCGAACCCAATCTCTTTTCAATCTTTCAAAAATATCTCTCTTCTAAAAAAATCCAAATATCCAGTATCAGTGACCATCCTGATCTGAGAATTTATAAAAACCCTTCACATTGTGTATGGCATTTCAAAAACTTTACTCCTTTTGGTTCAAATCGTAACTTGGCGTTAACATTTATTCTAAAAATCTTTCTCCGTGATTTCAAAATTTTCTTGCTCTGAAAAATGATTTTCAAAAACAAAGTCGATGGAACAGCCTCAATAATGATGATTACATTACACTCATAATCACTTGATCCAAACATGAAATAACTATGGCAAGTAGGAGCTGCTTACCATGCCTATTTTCCCCATCAAAGCCAAAAAACAAAAAGAAATACTCCCAATTCCTAAGCCATCACTAGCCTTAGACAACCCTAGGAACACACTTAGGATATGAGTCCATCTATGATCAATTCAATCGAGATTTCTCCGCCCTTCTCAACTACAAACATTCCATACAAGATGATTTTGCCTCTAAATCTTCGAAAAAGTGGTACACCGGCCCTACAATCTACAAACAAAGCTATAACCTCCGGGTCCCAAGCGATGATTCCGGGAGCGACCAACCTGCGACACCCCAAACAATGGGCTAAGCTAACCACCGGGTCATAGGCGTGACCACCAGACATGGCAGGCTCCTCTCTCAAGCGATCATGACTTCGTAGATGAAGAGTTCAGTTTCTCTCTTCCACCCAACTCTTTTACTGCAGAGGTCTATTTCTTTGCCGCTTTGTGTCTCACCATCCGAGTGAAACACAAGTGACAAAGAGGGGCAACTGTCGGCACCCTGATCTCGACTGGAAAGGTTATAGATAGGTTGAAATGTCCCAGGCAGAATACTTGAGTATTTTAAACCATTCACCCCACCAGTACTCCTTATCCATAAACCTAGCCTCTACCAAACCCTTATTGCTCAAATGAGACCAAAAGCGTCAAGAGGCTGAAAAAGGCAAGACAAACCCCAAGTAGCCTGACTATGAAGCATTCAAGAGGAAAGGATGTGATGTTATCTCATTGGGCACCAAAGCCCCACCAAAAGTCTGACAGCAAGGTACCAGAAGCACCACAGCATGGGCGACCCAGAACACCAAAGGCCTGGCGCCAGTGCCATTTCCATTGGCGCCAAGTTCTGGATCGCCATTTTCAAGCTACAACAAGATCAAGATACCTGACAGCATAGCTAATGTTGTCAACACCATTTTCAATAACGTAAGGTCCCGAGACCTTCACTGAGCGGGACACAGCCTAGCCGATGTGATTGACATGACAGGCTGACATGTCAGTTTGTACCCGCCATTGTGGTAGGCCCGTACTAACATGTCAGCTGTCAATACGGAACGAGGTTGTCGATTTCCTATTGGTTGATGATCAGATAAAGGTACAACCAAGACTGCTAGACAACTGATACTCGGTGACAGTCGAAATATCACCTATACTAGTCAAAATAGCTTCAAACTGCGATTGATCAAATTAGAGCTACCAGAACACGATACGTGTCCTGAATAGTTCTTGAAGGTAGTGGAAATGCCGCCGATGCCATTGCCAATGGCGCCGAAATCTGACAGGTCGTACAGAACCCGCATTAATGAGCAATTAATATTTACTGACCATCATTATTACAGCATTCATGACATGGTGTCATTCCAAACAGCACCAGCGCTAGTCAAATGGTGTCAAAGCTCTGAAGACCCAAAAAACCACACAAAACTAGATACAGTTGGTCATGATTTCATTTTCGCCTATAAAAGCCACCTTCTATCTCGAGAAAAATGTTCGACTTCTCTTGATCATGTGCCTAGATTATGCCCAAAAATCTCTTGATCTTAAGCCTAAGCTTGAGCTTTAGAGAAGACCCCCTTTGAGAAAAACCCCTATCCTACCAAACTCTTCAATTCCAAGCTATAAATACAAACCCCTTCAAGCTACATTTCAAACCATAGGTGGTCCAGATAATCAGACATTCTAGGTCCCCTTTCTTCCTATTTCTACTTGCCTTATTAAGAACCGAGAAAGTTTGGGTTGATTGTGCAACTTTACTATCTGAATCGGCATCGCATCGGGCCTGAGGGCCTGGCCTACATGCCATTTTTCCCCTCTTTTTGCTCTTTATTTGATTTCCTCAAAATTTATTTTCGTATATCAGTTATATTTATGATTTCTTTCATCTTCTTCTTT